AACCACCGCCCGGCCTCCGGCTGCGGCTCCGGCTCCGTCTCGGGCTCCGAGGCGGGCTGTTTTTGATCCGTCTGTGACTCCTGTGGCGCGGCGGCGGGGTCCTCGCCCTCCCCGTCTTCCCGGCCCTCCTCTGCGGGCCTGACCGGGGACGGTCCGTCCGTGGTCTCCGGTCGGGTCTGCTCGGCGCGCTGTCTCGCCCGCTCACACGCCACGGCGAACGCGTCGGTGACGAGTGTGGTGAGTCGCGCAGGGTTGACGGTGAGCTGGTCGTGACGGCGGCGCACGCGCACGTAGGCTGTGTAGTGGCCGCTGGTCAGTCGACCGCTGTGCTCAACGACACCAAACAGCGAGTAGAGCACCCGCCGCTGGCCGGCCCGCATCTGAGGCAGGTCCTGGCTGATGGAGGAACAGAAGGGGGCCAGATCGAGCCGCTCGCCGAACTGCACGTGCCGGTTCACCTTCCGCAGGCTGAAGCTGCACACCTCGAACCGCTTCAGGTGGATGGTCAGCACCGGCGGCGGACTGTAGATGAGCAGCTGCTTGCTGGCGTTGCTGTATACTGTGCCGAGTTTCTTCTCAGCTGCTTTTTCAGCCGCCGTGAGCCGTTTGTTGCGCAGCTCGGTGCAGTTGTCTTGTCGCAGCCGTGAGCCGTTTGTTGCGCAGCTCGGTGCAGTTGTCTTGTCGCAGCCGAGCTTGTTGCCGGTGAGCAGCTCGGGCGCCGTATACTGATTGAGACAGGTGAGCAGGCTGCACTCCCCGGCGGCCGCCTGGTAGCGCGGCGCCAGGGTGGTCAGCGCTCGACTGAGCCACTCACAGCGGCTCAGCGGCGGCGGCGGGCCGTCCGAGGGATCGGCCGCCGGTGAGGGGTCCTGACTCCTCCCCCTCACCGGTCCCCGTCCCTTCGGCCGGGGCGGTTGGCGCGCAGGTCCCGCCGTTCGGCGCAGACTGGAGTTCGCCGCCGTCCGCCGCCCCTGCCGTTGAGCTCTGGCCGTTCGCCACTACCTCCGTCGGCACACCGCCCGGCACCTCACCGGGTGACGGCGACTGACCCTCCCGCGGGGCCTCCTCGGCTGCCCTTCCGCAGTGACCGTTCGGAGCGCCCAGACTGTTCTCACGCGCCTCCACTGCCTCTCCGCAGTTCTCCGCCGGCACAGAGCTCTGCTTCTCCCCCACCTGGTCCGCTCCCGCCGTCTCCGGCGCACCGTTCGGGGCCTTGTCAGCACTCTCCCCGACCAGTGGCACCCGCCCGGCCGGCGAGGCGTCCGCCTCCACCGGTGACGACGGCCGGCCGTTCACCGTCAGCGGGCCCGGCTCGTCCCCACACGAGTCCGCAGCGGCCGCGGCGCCGGCGCGGTCCACAATCAGCGTGCTGAGCCGCTCCGAGAGCTCCTCCGCGGCCAGGTCGGCCGGCGGGTCCGGACTGACTGAGGCGGGCGGCTCGTTCAGCTCGTCTTCCGTCGATTACCCGCTGACCGAGGCCGGCGGCGGGTCGAGCTCCGACAGCAGGCTGAAGATGATCGGGCCCGTGTCGCCGTTATCGCTGTGTCGCTGACCGAGGCCGGCGGCGGGTCGAGCTCCGACAGCAGGCTGAAGATGATCGGGCCCGTGTCGCCGGCGGCGGGTCGAGCTCCGACAGCAGGCTGAAGATGATCGGGCCCGTGTCGCCGTTATCGCTGTGTCGCTGACCGAGGCCGGCGGCGGGTCGAGCTCCGACAGCAGGCTGAAGATGATCGGGCCCGTGTCGCCGTTATCCTCCTCGTCTGCGTCACTATCACCTTCTGCGTGGACGACGTCCGACTGTTTGTCGAGCTCCTGTCCGGAGTCGCTGGCCGGCTGTCTCTCCGGCTCCGGGGCTGGCTCCTGACCCGTACCGTCCGCCTCCGCCGCCGCCGGACCGTGTTTCTTTGCGCGCCGCGCCGCCTTTCGTTCCTTTTTGAGCGCGTGTTTGGAGGGCCGCCCGGATCCGGTGGCCTTGCTGGGTGTGAGGACGTACTCTCCGAGCTGTCCTCGTCTTCCGCTCCCGTACCGCGCAGCTTCCTGGGCCGGGTCGGCTGATCTTCGGCGGCGGGCAGCGAGAGGTCGAGGAAGGGCTCCATGCGGTGTGTGCGGGCCATGCAGGCCTGACACACCACCAGGCTGACCAGAAACTCCGTCCCGTGATACGCTAACGTTGGGTTCATGTGGTGACCCTTGGTGACCTGACCTGTAACTTGACCTGGTATCACCAGTGACCTCTAATAGCAACATATGTGCTAGACAACTGACGCCCTATCGCTGATTTTCGACAAAATGGGTTTTACTCGCGGTGTTATAGCGCTTTCCCTAGAAGACCCGTGAACGGTGAAACATTTTATCTTTGACCTGACCTGTGACGTCTTCGGTGACATTTGGTTTCTTTGTACAAATTTGACAGGGCTATCGAACGCCGTTTGAATTTTCCGGATCCGTCCAGTAGTTTCGGAGATGCGGGTGGGGGGCAAAAAATGTCCCCCCCCCCCCACCGCGCGGAAGGTGGCCGGGAGGCCCACCGCCTGCCGGGTTAACAATCAGTCCTGAGCTACCTTCATATACGTCTAATATAAATATTTTTTGACTTTAATTAGATTCCAACTACGGGGATTTATCACCTCTAGCGGCAGATATGTAAAAGCTATAGTTAGGGCATTGCTCCTATAGATGACGCCCTTTGACGGCTAGAAATTGAGAATTTCGTCCCGTGATACGCTAACTATGCCGAAATGTTTTTTTTTTTTACATGGTGATGCTTACTCACACGAAAAACTGTCTATAATATCCTGCTAACCAGCTTGCGATTTTTAAGAAATCTCTAAATGTAATGTCATTGCGGGAATTAAGTCTTTCAATTGTTTGAGGAACGTTCGTACTACTCATTTTTATGCGAAAATCCCCACTGACTCGTCTGAAATATCACTTTCCCCATTACCATAACACTGCAAGCCGAGACTACAGTCACTGGCGGATCCAGGGGGGCCACGGGGGCCATGCCCCCTCCCAGGCCCAAAGTGGCCTGTTTGGCCCCCCAAAAAAACGTCAGAAAAATTACTGAGAAAATATACCTTGAAGGGGGTTTAAGCCACTTGGTGAAGTAAAGCAATTTCCACAGCATAATATGGAAGCAATATGGTAGCAGTGAGGGTCAGTCAAAGTTGCGCGAGCGGAGTCGACCTTCAAAAAAAGACTGTTGTTGGCACGTGTTTATGGTGCGGCAGCTGGTAGTTGGCGGTGTTTCGCGTGGTGTGGCATCACTGGCGGATCCGGGGGGGGGGGGGGCACGGGAGTTCCAGTGGCAGTTCTAGCCCCTTACAAAGCCAGGGAGGGCCCTGCTCCAACCTCCTCTAACTTGCTCTTGGAGGAGTTTAGAGGCGTTAGGAAGTGCGACTGGAACAGACCCATATATCTACAGTGCGAGCCTGGGACGTGCCGAAAATATAGTTCAATTGCCAATAATTGGGCTGCATGTTTAGAAAACGTATTAGGCCTACAATATCCAATGAAAAACGTTGAAAAGTAGCGGGCCCGCGGGTCCCGCCACGGTACAATATGCCGTGATCGGATTTCCGATCGGCGCGGCAAAACAGGATTGTGGTGGGAAGTGAACAACGAGCAGACTATCCAGTGGATTAATAGAGTAGAACGCACCTCATGCACGAAATATGGCATTTTTAACCCGGCAGGCGGTGGTCCTCCCGGCCACCTTCCGCGCGGTGGGGGGGGGGGGGCATTTCCCCCCTCCCCCCGTATCTCTGAAACTACTGGACGGATCCGGAAAATTCAAACGGTGTTCGATAGCCCTGTCAAATTTGTCGAAGGAAACCAAACTTCATTGACCTCAGGGTCATCGATGACGTCACAGGTCAGGTCAAAGATAGAATGTTTCACCGTTCACGGGGCTTCTAGGGAAAGCGCTGCCTATAACACCGAGTGAAACGCATTTTGTCGAAAATCAGCGATAGGTCGTCAGTTGTCTAGTACATATGTTGCTATTAGAGGTCACTGGTCATACCAGGTCAGGTCACAGGTCAGTTCACCAAAGGTCACCTAGGGTCACCACATGAACCCAACTTTACTAAGGTTGTGCGATGCATGTTTTATGGTCAGTTTTTCATTTCCAACTCAATGGTGTTGGTTATAAGACCATCAGGTACGGTTTAATTCACTTTCTGGTGGAGGTCAGGTCAAGGTCAGGTCAAAAAAGGTCAAACTTTAAAGTTGATACTTTTGCATAAAATAGGTATTGATTCGATGCAGCTCGTCACGGGGAGTCTAATGGTTGTCTTTGTTTTGCGCTACGAGGTCTAGAATTGCTAAAAATTGAGTTTGAAAATTTGACTTCATCAATTTTGAACAGTTTTTTCGCTATAACTTGGCCAAAAAAAAGAGGTATCGATCTCAAATTTAATATGTAAATAGAAGGTGGTAGGGACTATCACATTTCTTCCGTTTTTTTTTTTTTGAATTTCAAAAAAAAAACTTTTTGGATTTTTCGGCTATTATATTCAAAAAATCTATTTTTTATTTTTTGGGGTCAAAATAAAAAAATCAAACATCTGAGATAGCATTTTTGTAGCCATCTGAATTCTACATCTTTTATGTTGAAACATTTTTATGTATCTCTAAAGCTGTAGGCCTGACAGCTCTTCTCGCGAAACTTTTTTTGGGTCGAAAATGGCAGAAATGACGTCACTCTGACGTCATTAGCGTCCAACCTATCATAGCCTTTGGATAAATTTTTGGTCACAATGTGCAATAGCTATTCACGGGAGGGTACTGAAAGTTTTGTGACGATCAGCGCAGCGGTTCTCGAGATATATCGAAAAAACTAAGGGGGGGGGCAAAAAATGCCCCCCCACCGCCTGGAAGGTTAATGCGTGCTTTAAAAAAATGGTGGTCCACATTGCCATGAACACGGCATTTCTAGGACCGGACTACCTGATGAATTTCGGTGGTTTCCGGGCGCAGACTGATCCACATTCACTCACCGACGAAGGGTCCGACGGGCGAGTGAGTGGCGCCGGCGGTGATGGTAGCCGTCTGCCGTCCCGCGGGGTCCGCCGCCTGCCGTCCCGCGGGGTCCGCCGCCTGCGGAAACCCTGCAGCCACAGGCCCGCAGCAGCGGCACGGAAACAGCGTCAGAGACAGTACGGAAACAGCCAACGACGACTGAGACATTACGGAAACAGCCAACGACGACTGAGACATTACGGAAACAGCCAACGACGACTGAGACATTACGGAAACAGCCGACGACGACCGAGACATTACGGAAACCCTGTCCAGAGACAGCGTCAGCGTCAGAGACATTACGGAAACAGCCAACGACGACTGAGACATTACGGAAACAGCCAACGACGACTGAGACATTACGGAAACCCTGTCCAGAGACAGCGTCAGAGACATTACGGAAACAGCCAACGACGACTGAGACATTACGGAAACAGCCAGCGACGACTGAGACATTACGGAAACAGCCAGCGACGACCGAGACATTACGGAAACAGCCAACGACGACTGAGACATTACGGAAACAGCCAGCGACGACCGAGACATTACGGAAACCCTGTCCAGAGACAGCGTCAGAGACATTACGGAAACAGCCAACGACGACTGAGACATTACGGAAACAGCCAGCGACGACTGAGACATTACGGAAACAGCCAGCGACGACCGAGACATTACGGAAACAGCCAACGACGACTGAGACATTACGGAAACAGCCAGCGACGACCGAGACATTACGGAAACCCTGTCCAGAGACAGCGTCAGAGACATTACGGAAACAGCCAACGACGACTGAGACATTACGGAAACAGCCAGCGACGACCGAGACATTACGGAAACAGCCAACGACGACCGAGACATTACGGAAACCCTGTCCAGAGACAGCGTCAGAGACATTACGGAAACAGCCAGCGACGACCGAGACATTACGGAAACAGCCAACGACGACTGAGACATTACGGAAACAGCCAGCGACGACCGAGACATTACGGAAACCCTGTCCAGAGACAGCGTCAGAGACATTACGGAAACAGCCAACGACGACTGAGACATTACGGAAACAGCCAGCGACGACTGAGACATTACGGAAACAGCCAGCGACGACCGAGACATTACGGAAACCCTGTCCAGAGACAGCGTCAGCGTCAGAGACATTACGGAAACAGCCAATGACGACTGAGACATTACGGAAACAGCCAACGACGACTGAGACATTACGGAAACAGCCAATGACGACTGAGACATTACGGAAACAGCCAACGACGACCGAGACATTACGGAAACCCTGTCCAGAGACAGCGCCAGAGACATGGCGGTCTGATCAGCAATGGCATCTAACTGCAGATGTTACCTGGGCAGTCCATTCTGAAATAGACATGATGAGCAGTACTTAAATTAAGTATGAACGTAGTTCAAGCATCAATTTCCAGTGGCTCTGATTTTGTTTCGACGGACTCTTAACTACAGCTTTTGCTTGAAATACCAAATTGAGCTGGTACAAAAGGGGATGCGCTTACGGCATTAACACCCATTGCCGAATGATGTACCGTAAACGGGGGTGACTTTGCCATGTTTTCAACTTTAGACGCTTGTATTTTTTAAACTTGCTAACTTATTGGGATGACTCTATGTTTAAAACACGGATGACGATTAGCTCTTTGGGTTTTGTTAATATCGTATTTATATCTTGCCTAAAAATATAAATTTTTAAGGAAAATGAGTCGTGGTAAAGTTAAACTGAAAAAGGGGTGACTTTGAGACTATGCCAAATAATGTTTTTTTTTAACGCTAACAAATACTTTACAGGCATTTTTGTTCCATTTTATGGGGAAGGGCAACCATCCTTTATTGTTTTATAGGAAAAAATAAAGCAATTCGAGGTTTTTTGCTCTTAAACGATGTACAAAAAAGGAGATATACCTTACTTTTTATAATGCATTATGTTTGTTGAGAATAATTGATATTTGATAGTAAATAGATACTGAAAATGGTTCAGAATCGATAAATAAGCAAATATACTATTGTATCGGTACTCTAGGACCTTGCCGCTTTTTTCCAGCGGCATTAAGAGGAGCAGAAACAGGACGTTCTTGCGGGAACTGACCGACAGAATTGTTATCAGCGTTTTGATCTATAAAATGATACATATTTCTTCAGCTAGTCTTACTGGCAAACTCAGGAGTTGTAGATGCTCATGGCTGTGCTGAAAAGTTGGGTCCAGCTTCATCCATTTTTTTTTTATTTTTGTAATTTTTGCCTTTCTATACTCCCGTCTCCCACTGTGCATTCCTGTGCTAACTTTCAACTTATAAACTTGTACTTTCTAAAAACCAGTTTGGAGATCAAAATGATGCTATATTAAAAACTTATTTTGAATTGCATCGGATAAGTATTTCATTTTTGCATCGATAACATGGTGGCAAAGTCACCCCATGTGGGCTGCAATTCACTTGGAAGAATCGCCACCAAAAATTTTAGCTAAATGAAGTGACAAATACCAGTTTTGTTGGATATGCTAACTTAACAGCCTTGTCATTATCAACCATACCAAGTTTCAGCATCGCGGTTGGTCTAGAACATGGTTAGATAATACAAAGTTCGGACCTCTTCAAATTTGACCATTTCAATGACTCCAATAAAATGGAGCCCAGTTGGTATTTAGTGGTAACTTATCCCTCAATGTTGGTTATTTTGGAAAGCCCATCAATTATCTTTCATTTGTGCATTAAAAATTATTACATTTTTCGTAAAATATCACTAGAGATCACCCAAAAGCATTTTTGAGAAGCATGGCAAAGTCACCCAACAAGGCAAAGTCACCCCCGTTTACGGTACCAGGTCACAGGACGGTTCAGAGTTGAGCACTGTGGTCCGGCTTACCTCTCGCTGTTGTAAGAAGCGCCCCAACAAGACAAGCTCGAGCCATATTCGACATCTTTCTTGCTGGAACCCAATGATCTGTGCTAGTAGACATTACGCAAGGTCACCTTTAAGGCTCTGAAAAGCTGGCTATGTAACCTATGCTGACAATGTTGTTGGTTTTTGACAGTCTGGTCGTCGGTTGTTTTCTGGTGTGGTCGTGGCTGCGCTGTTTTCCGGGCAGTGTGGCGTGGTTTCGCCGCTCGGGGAGCCCGTCTCCGACTGGTGGGTCCCTCAGCACTGCGACAGGCCTCAGTAACCGAGTCCGTCTCCGGCGCCCACTCTAGGGGCGGGGAGCGGAGGCAGAGCAATCAACCCGTCCGTCCGCGCGCCCCGAACCGGGTCACGGGTGTCACTCAGCGGCGGCACGGCGGCGGCGTGACACCTCCGACACTGGGGAGCAATTTAACGGCGTGACACCTCCGACACTGGGGAGCAATTTAACGGCGTGACGCCCCCGACACTGGGGAGCAATTTAACGGCGTGACGCCTCCGACAGGGCCAGCAGGGTTGTTAAAAAACGAATTTGTGGAAAAGTATACGGGAAAGTTGTGGAAAAGTATACGGGCTCATGGCTCATGTGGCGTGATATTCTTTTTTGAGTCCAATGATGCAATTTTTTTCCGAAAACTATTAACTGCTAGGTGCTCCTCAAACGGCTTAAAGAGGACCATGTTACGCCCGCCGACCGGCCGGTGTCAATAAGGGCGAGAATTCGACGCCGCGCGGCGGCGGCAGCGCCTTATCGGCACCGCGCGCCACGACGTCTGCCGGGCGGCCGGCTGTTTCTGTTTTGTTCTGTTGTTTGTTTCTGTTTTGTTGGGTTAGGCCCTTTCGGTCTGACAAGACCATTGCAGAGCCGGAAGGATGATAGGAATTAGGGGGAGACATTGGTCTGGGCAGACACCCTAGAGAGTCGCCGGGGCTGAGCCCGTCCGAATGGACAGGCCGACCAGCCCCCCCAAGCACTCTCTGCACCCGGCTACGGGGTGCGCTCCCTCGGGAGCAGCGGTGCCGCTCCAAGGGAGCAGCCCGCATGAGATAAAGGTGCCTGTCCAGCCCGGAGTGGGGTTGCGGCGTGGAGGAGAAAGATTTCTGTATCCTGAGGATAGAAGCACGGAAAGGTGTCAAGGCGGCCGGCTGGGCGGTGGGAAGTTATAAGTGCGTGGTCTTATTGCACACGATCGGGGTGCGCTATCCCATGTTAACGGTGCGGAAAGTTTCATTGTAGCATCGGTGCGTCTGCCGCGGTGATCTGTGTCGATGATGCAGAAAATGAGTCAAACAGAGCTAAGAAAAGACTGAATGATTCCGGGTAGGACTCAGAAAAGAATTCCGCACCGCATGAGCGATGAGTCCGTATACTTTTCCACTTTTTTTAACAACCCTGAGGGCTAATGGAGGAATTTAGTCAGGGCACGTAGCACCTGCGACTGCGGAGGGCTCTAGCTGAGGGGCGCCATCCTCCTCGGCGGAGAAACTCAGCCGAGGGGGCCAGCTCCTCCCAACTGGCGTGGAACATGCTATTCGCCTATGCGCATTGGATGCTCCTTTTTTGCAACACTTCGCAAAGAAACAGCACCATTTTTAGTTTCAACTAGAGATGTCAATCGGATACCAACTTTTTGGTATACCGATACCAAACCAATACCGACCTGGTATTTGGTATTTCAATCGTAATGTGCTTGGTATTTTGTTGGTATCATAAGCCCTCACTTATGTATAAGAGGCTAAGAAATCGGTAAAAAGTTGGCATTTCCCTCAGTTTCCCAAGTTGGTTTGGTTTCGGTATTTTCCCGTGGTTTTGGTTGGTATTTGGTTTGGTATCGGTATTCCGATTTTCCGTAACTGACATCACTAGTTTCAAGTCTGACCTGCAAAAGTCATGGTTGACTTGAGGAGCCAGGATTGGGTACCGTTGGGCTTGTCTTTTCCTAAAGCATCTGATGATTTTTGTTGCAGAAGCGTTATCACCACCAGCGGTCGATTTCACAGAGAGGTGTAATATGGGACAGACGCAGTTGTTGCATATTACAATTCTGCTACATTTCATCCCCGAACGGTTTTATAACCTGGGATAGCGCGAATAAGAATTGTTAACCCTCGCATGTGTGCGGCGTTTGCCAGCTTCTAATGTGTAGTGGGGGGGGGTCGGTTGGACTCCCCCCCTGCCGTTTGGCCCCTGATCGAGCTAGAGATTCGCGGAAAAAAACGAGCGTGTTGCCCGTGACGAGAGGAAGCCGATGATACCCAATTTTAAGGTCCTAGATCATTGGTTGACCTTCCAGGTCAGGTCAATGACCCAAGGTCGGGAAAATCGGGACCTGTTAGAAAGTCGTAAAATGTGGCTGCTATGGGTTTTTTTTCGGGATGCTGATCACAAATATCGTGTAAGTTTTGATCACAAATGATGTCTTTAAGCATTTAGACCAGGTTGGGTCAGGTCAGGTCAGGAGTAGGCGTCGTGACGGGTATTCGTAGTACGTGTCAATCGCCTCTGACAGCTTCGTAACATGTTACGAAGTCATCAAAACTACTTCGTGAATGTTCAAATGGTTGCTAAATTCGAATTCAGCTCCAAAAACTAGCCTAGAAACATGTAAAACTCGAAAAAGTGAACCGAGGTCACCAAAGGTCAGTGACCTGACCTGACCTTCAGGTGACCTTGACACCCACCCTAACCCGCGCCCCACTGGGGGGGGCTATTTATAGCCCCCCCTCCCGTTTTTCTGCAATAACTTCCAAACCGCTTGACGAATTGACGCCAAACTTTCAGTACCTTCGGCTGCATCAATTTGACACCTTGTGTCAAAATTTGAACTTCGTAGCTACCATAGGTCGGCCGAAAATGACGTCAGAGTGACGTCATATTCGTCCGATTTCGACGCAAAACATTGAACCACGGCAATCGCTCCCAAGAGCTCAGTTTTTAAGCTAGATCCAATTTCTTTGCATGAAAGGACTCAGAATTGACCGCGCTATCAAACTGCTATCTCGGTTTTTCAAAATTTTGAAAATTTCGAAAATTTTATTCAAAATTTATATTTTTATATTTTTTTCAAAAAGTTTTTGAATTTTCGAAAAAACCGGAATATATGTGACAGAACGCATGATTATGACTAACTCTAGCAAGTTTTAGCTAAATATCTTCAAAAATGGCCAAGTTATACGCATTATTGCAAAAAATTCACAATTATTAATTTTTCAAATCAATTTTTCAGTACGTATTTGGCATCGTACACCAATATAAATGGCACCATCGTGTTCCTGAGCTCAAACTGCATCCATTAGACACCTTTTTTGTTGAAAAATTTCAACTTAAAAATTTGACCTTTTTTGACCTGAAAGTGACCTGACCTAAGCTAATTTCGACTCAAAATGACCTTGAATGACACAGACGACATCAAATTCGAAATCTATGGCCTAAATGGACCATAAAACATGTGTCACGTGACCGACGCATGATATAATATTTTCGTGACCTGTGATGACCTGACCCTGACCTGAAAATCAAAGTACAAGTTTGGTACCCTCAAGGTATCTAGAGCATCTGTTTACAAGTGTGGAAACCAAAAATGAGCCTGATCTGACTTGTAAGACGGCGGCCAGAGCCCAAAATGTGAACAAGCCAAAGTGCTAATAATTTTTACTTTGACCTGACCTGTGACGTCATCGGTGACCTCGAGGTCAATGAAATTAGGTTTTGCTCGACAGTTTTTCCGGGGCTATCAGACGCCGTTTGAATTTTGACGATCGGCCCAGTAGTTTCGGAGTTAGGAGGGGGGGCTATGAATAGCCCCCCCCCCCCCCAGTAGGGCGTGTTATACACAGACCCCAGTAGGGCGCGGGCTAATGCATGGGAGCAACATCAAATCACATGTTTGAACGTTTGAAACCACGAAAAGCTTGCAAACGCGCGGCTAATGCGAGCCGACATACGCGGAATCGCGATTCCGGCCAAACATGGTCTCGGAAAAGAGGTCACAGGTCAAAGGTCATTTGGGTCAGGGTCATGAAATTTTCAGGGTAGGTGTAAAATGGACCAATGCGAGAGTACTGAACGTTTTGTCGCGATCGGCCGCTTTTTACGCGAGTTATTCGCGAAAAACCATGGGGGGTCCATCCGACCCCCCCCCCCCCCTATGCGAGGGTTAACTCTTAACGACGATAATTCCGAGGGCAAATTTCGGCAGTTTTTCTTGATGCCCTGTGCTTCTACATGCACTAGAAATGCACATACGGTGTATTGAAAAATAAAAATATTTTTAACATATATTTCTGGACTGGCAACTATAGTTGCCACTCGGCGTTGGCGTAGTCAAAAATTGCCGCTATCGTAACTTTTCATTAAACAAATACTAATCGCCGGGATGCATTGAATCTATTTATGTCCCAACTTATCCCCCACGAGCCTTAATCCAATTTCCAAACAGAAAAAAGTGGTTACGCCACTTCAATATAAATTTTTAATAAGATAATTACGTCTAAGTAGTGGAATCTACACTATGCCCTATGGTATAAGCCTGTAGCCTGTGCCCAAAGCAGCTGCAGTCCTTGGTATCCAGGAAACACAGTTCATTTATCCATCAATAAGTGTTTTTCTGTACCAAAGCAGATGCTCTTTACCAGTCCTTTTTAACCATTTATCTTGACATGCATAAATAAAATCTGCTCGAAAACAATTCAACAAAGAATGCATATTATCTCATACGTAGTTCTCACCAGATCCCTATTTACTCGTACATGGTTGATGGCAGGTATACCGTCCTATCACAAAACTTTCTACCGGGTATGATACATTTGTAAAAACTCGGGGTACAAAGCAACTCGATTATTCATGCCTATTTGCGAGCACGCTGATTACAGGCCTACCGGAGCCATGGAATTGTATAGTATATTTCTGATTCCCGCATACGTACGTACTTCTGCTGTCCTTACCTAACCAGTAAATCCGTTCGCCTTCGAATGTTTTTTAGACTGTTCGGACGAGAGTCTGGACAAATTGGATCCCTTTCGTGATCACGACTCGAGCACACACTGGCGGTTGTACTTCAGAATAAGAAGGGGGATATGTTGATTGACGAGTAAAAGTGGTGTAAGTACAAGGCGACCACCACTACTTGCACTTGAACACATTCCACGTGTCATAAAAATATAGTTCAATTTCATCTAGTTTAGGACAACTGAACAGGCCCACATATTTTCTACCACCTGAATCCCCATTTCCTCGTTTCCAGCTGGCAGTGCCAGGAATCAGCACTGCCCCAAGTCAGGCGATGTCTCGCCTTTGGTTCACAATTTTCATTCAGTCCCATGAGACAACATCAGCTACGTGATCGTAACCTAAAGTTTCGTGTGCTGTTATCCTCGCACGAAACCCAAAGCACAAAGCC